CGCCTTTCTCAAGGCTTATGCCCAATTGTTTCTCATTGCTTTTAACAGAAGGCCGTACTAGGCAGTTGCAAACATCTTGGCTTGTGTAGGCCAGACTCAGTGCACGCAGTGAGGGCTCTTTGCATCGCTCCCCTCAATTCCTTTCCTCCCAAACTCTAAACTGAAATCATTTATGAAACTGATTTAAAACATGAAGGAAGTTAAACAGAGACAGGAGTTATAAAAGCTGCCAGTGCAGCATCTTTGAACTAATGAGTGGATCTTCCTTCATCCGAGCTTCTTGTTTTCGTAGCAGCAGAAGAAGCGGAAGAAGAAAAAGGTGCGTAAGGTTCCACCCTCAGTCGTGGATGAAAGGTCCAAGACAAGCAGTCAGCCCAGACGCCCTCTCCCAGCTACCCAACCAGGTGAGTGTACTTCAGTAAGCCCCTCTGGTCCAGCTGCGTTTACATGACCGTCAGGCAGGCGAATGTGCCATAGAGAGCTCCTCTCCCAGCACCCTAACCAGGTAAGTGAGCCACAGGGAGCTCCTCTGTTTGAGCCCCACAATTAGGAGAAATGTAAGGGAATTAGCAGGGAAATGTTAGAAAAACAGAAGAGAGAGGAAAACCGAAGTGAAGAATGCAAATCCCTGGGGGGTAATACCAAATACCATAGGGCAGCTGGTTCCAAACTGAGCTCTCTGGAGAGCTGGCTTGTCACTGTTTCTGCCAGTTCGCCCTTGCTTGGAGCTCCTTCCTCAGATATCAAGGCTCGTCAGTGGAAACAAGGCTGGAGGAGCTGGGAACAACTAGGAAGAGCCAGGCCAACTTTTAGGTCCTACAGCTTCAAAAGAGGAAGGGAGCAATGAGAGCCACCCCAGGGACTGGAGCTGCCAATGAGAAAGGGATGTTTAGGGGGAAGGGGATGAGGCAACCAAGTAATATGTGCAAGTAGGGGAAGCAAAGGACTGTGTGGCAGGGAAGCACATGCAGGGGACGGGAGGAGACCACATAACAAAGAAAGGAGTATGTGCCGGGGGAGCAAGGGAAGAGGGAGGAAAGGGGGAGATGCAGTGAAGAGCCAAAGCAGTGTGTGTGATGAACTCTGGAAAGGACCAAACCCTTTTCACACTAACGACAGTTCTAGTGATCGCGTCTTGGAGCAGCATTGCCTGTGCCCCTTCCCACATGGCTGCCCTTAAAAGGAGAGAACGAGGAGAAGGCACTTCCAGACTGAGAACAGCAGCGAGGACCAGAGAACTCGCTATCCCATGCCCCTGGACCTTCTCTAATATGAGGGTGGGAGTGTCCATTGAGCTTTACTCTCCAGCCTGGGATGGAGGGTGATGTGCAGCGCTTCTGAGCTATTCTCCTCCTGTGGGCTTAAGCATGGCTGACTGGAGAAATGCGGACCTTGGGCATCCAGCAGCAGGAAGGATGACTTCACTGTTTGTAGAGCCAGGGGGAGACGCCAAATAATAGCAGTGACACATGGGACCCCCACTGCTCCCCACTCTGTCACTCGACAGATGGGTGAACTTCTGAAGTTAAGCTGAGGAGCTGCTGCTGTTTCAGACACTACCCATCCTCCTCTCAAACCTGGGGGGTAGAATCTATTCCGCTTCTACGGCTCTTCTTGCCTGGGGGAATGGTTTTTTTGAAGGAGCAAATATGAGAAAATACCAGGCAGGGTTTAGCTGCCATTGCCTTTTCAGGACTCTAATGGCACTTCACAGCTAGGGAGTCAGGCAGAGCTGCAGTGCCACAGTGGGTACCAACCAGCTCTGCACTGCAGAGCTCAGTGGTGCAGGATTTGACCCACAGGAAAATGAGGCTTCACTAGAGGGTGAGGGCAAGTCCTCTGAAATGCACTCATGACATCTGGGACTTTGACTTCACTTTATCATTAGGTGCCATGGTATGCACGTGTGATTTCATGTCAGGATACATGAGGGAATGTAACTGTAGGGTCCAGGGGCTTGTGGGACCTGTATGTGGAAAGGAAGACAAAGGGGGTATATGAACCCAGGATTGGGGAGAACATAGCCTGCCTTAGAAGGGGAAATGAATTGGTCATGTGGTGTTGGGAATACTGTAAAATGTTTAGTGCATGGATTCTTCCATTACCGAGAATTGACTTGTGGGCCTTTTGACATCTGGTTTTGCATGAGCATGTATGGGCTCCTTTAATTTCGGTGGATCAGTCCCTTTTTTATCTTAATCGCCCCTGGGACTGGGGACGTGTGTCTGGGGATGAGGGAAACCACAGTCTCTTCTGATGCTTCCATTTTCCTTTCTTTCCACCTTCAGAATTTTCAGCCACTGCTGCCATCTTATCATCCTCCCACAGCCTTCATCTCCCTATGCCAGCTTTCCCTCACAGAGTTCCCAGGCCTGCAAGCAGCATTGGCCATGTCCAGGCAGCTGGACCTCCTGTTGAATACCACTCAGAGTCTGCAGAGTCCATGGATGAGATCCCTGTGGCTCAGACCCGCCTGGGGAGCGCTGCCCCTACGGGGGCTTCCAACAAAAGCCTTAACAACTTTCACCATCATTCCTTGTCCACAGCCCATGCCAGAGGTGATGGGGAGAAGAATCTATATCCTGGGCACCTGGTACAATGGAAAAGCTGCCAGAGAGCCAATGATGGGGAACAAGAGCTCGAACTGCTCTCTAAGATACCTGCTGTGTTTGTGAGCGAGAGCAGTGGTGAGCCTCCAGTCCCACCTGGTGAGATAGTATCCAAGCCCCATCAGAGGAAGTGCACTAGCAAACAGCATGTGGATGAGCAGGACCCACACTTGTGGGACATGAGGACAAACACAAGAGCAGCTTAGGCATCCGCCTTCCAAAGCTTACTTTCCAGGATTCTGTCTTCAAGGGAAGGGAAAGGAGGTTGCTCACTCTACAAATATGTTGGTGTCCAAAGATGTTGACTCCAGTGACTCACCTTATTCCATGGAGTCAACTGAGTTCAGATTCTTTGATGGAAAGATTCTTCTTTCCAGCAGACCAAGCCGCAGAGCACAAGGAGACCTGTTATGCCACCTTCCTGACTACTGCCTGCTTCAAGATCAGCAGCATGTGCATCAGAGCAGGGTGAGATGTTAGCAACTCAGCTTCCTTCCCATTACCCTGGGGAAGCAGTGGGTGTCGTTGGGGCACAGACTGTAATATGGGGACTTCAGGTGTTCCCCAATGTACTGGAGAGCCCACGCCCAAACTGTGGTCACCACCAGACTGCAATGAGACATTTATTGCTGCCACACCAGAGGCAAGAGCTACCACGGTGACAGCTCAGAGAATTCTGCTTACCTTGGCACATTACTATGGAGTACTATGGAAATCTGCTTCCCCTAGGCAGAGGGACACTACCTCTCCAACTGAAACGTGTGCTGAATCCACCAACATCCTGGCCTTCTGGAAAGTTGTTCTCCGTTAATGTTGTTAGATGGAGTATGTGTGAAAGAGGGGTGCATTGAATCCAGATCTCTGAGGATTGCTTTCTCACCATCTGTGTGCATTGGCTTACCTTTCAAAGAACCTGGATTGGGTTGGTTTGACCCCTCACAGAGTTGAGTGACCCATATGTGCTAGCCACCGAAATTAACATGCTTAAATCTCCAAGAGGTGATTCCTATGGTCTCAGTCCAGAATGCAGTTTCCCTCTTTTATACTGCCCATTAGTAACATGGGTCTTTGAGCATGATGGGCAGCACATGTGTTCGTGTGTGAGCAATATCTGTAGGGCACTCAGCCTGAAAGCAGGGATAGAGCCATCATACCACTGGTGTATCACTGCTAGGTAATGCCCTTGTAGTGTTCTTTCCACTTCTCTCATCTGTCATTGTCTGTATCTGTCATCTAGGTGAAATTCACCTTGTGCAAATTCTGTGCTTGACATGATCAGAAGGCTGATTACTCCCATTGGCTTGGAAAGGGCTGGAAAATTCTCTCCAACAGTAGCCACTGAATCACAACTTATTCTTTAATGTTCCCTCCTCATGCAGCAATATTCTGAGTCTTGTTGTGTGGAGCTCCATAATCAGCTCTGTCCGCAATAAAATTTTCTATGACCTTTGCTAGTCATTTTCCATTCTTCATTGCAATAGCTGTTTGTTCCCTTGTCCCTGGCCATTTGGTGGTGCCCAGGGTATTAAGAGGTGTAGAGGCAGCTTCACCTATCTCAGCTGTCCCAGCTAGTCCTCATATGGCTAACCTGTCTCCCTCCACTCAGCGCTTTCTTTCTCTTCCCTTCCCAAACTGTGTTCAGCTGCCAGAGGTATTCACCAGCTGTCCTGTTAATGTTAGGGTGGAGAGGCAGATGTTTCAGGGGGTGTCTTTGCTTTGCAGTTTGAATCAGCACATTCTTTTTCAAAGCATTGCACATGGTCATTCCACTTCAGATGTGCATGTGCCCTGTGCACCAGAGTCGGCCATTTTCCCCTTAGCGTTACCCACTGGGGCAGCGCATGTGCCATTAGGGTGACCAGATGAGAATTCCAAAATATTGGGACCGCCGCAGGGGGAGCGCCTTTTCAATTGCTACACTCACCCGCAAGGCCGGCTCTGGCTTTTTTGCCGCCCCAAGCAAAAAAAAATAAATAAAACAATCGGGGCATCCAGAATGGCAAAGCAAAAAAACCCCCAAAACCTGCGGCGCGGCCGGAGCGGCAAAGCAGGGAAAAAAAACCAACAACCTGTGGCGTGGCCGGAGTCAGGGTGCAGGGGGACTCCCTGCGTTGCAGACGTACCCCAGCTAGTGGGGGGAGGGGGAGGGAGCGGGGGGAGAGAGAGAAGGAGGGCGACCAGAGCTTCAGCAGGGCGCTCGCCACGCGGCCCTGACCGCCGCGCCCTTGCCGGGAGGGCTCCACACCGCTCTGGTCGGTGGGGAGGGAAGGGCGCGGGCTGCCCCGCCGGGCTTGCTACAGACCTGGCACCGGCTGGGGCAGACGGAGCGCGCAGCCCGCTCCCAGCAGGGCGCTCCCCTCCTCCGCGCCACCGCCCCCTACAGGGCAGCCGGATCGGCCAACCAAAAAAAAAAAAAGCGGCCGTGCCGCCCTAGGATTGGGCGGAATGCCGCCCCGTAGAATCTGCCACCCCAAGCACGAGCTTCCTCGGCTGGTGCCAGGAGCCGTCCCTGCTCACCCGTCCAAGTTTGCGGCGACACTTCGGCAGAGGGTCCTTCAGTCGCTGACAGTCTTCGGTGGCATTTCGGCAGCGGGTACTTCCTTCTTTGGCAGCAAGGCAGCTCCGGCCGCGCCGCAGGTTTTGGGGTTCTTTTTGCTTTGCCATTCTGGACGCCCCGATTGTTTTATTTTATTTTATTACCCGCCACCGAAATGCCACTGAAGACCGTCAGCGACTGAAGGACCCACCGCCGAGACCCGGACGTGCCAGGTGAGTGTAACAATTGAAAATGCGCTCCCCTGCCTGTCACCGCCGCCTAAGCAACAAGAAAAAAAAGCAAAAAAAACCCCTGCCCGAAACAAACTATCAGGACAAATGGCGTGCGGACCGTACTTCGGTCGGGATGTGGGACAAACTGCTCCATATCGGGACAGTCACGATTTTATCGGGAGGTCTGGTCACCCTATGTGCCCTTGGCCGCCTCGTGCTGCTGTGTGATAGTATAAGGGCGGAGCCGCCCCGTACCTCTCCTTAGCACCCATGATCGGTACAGAGTTCATCGACTTGCTACTGCGAGTTTTCTCCCACTCCAGGGGGTTTCTCTCCCTTCTCTAAATAGTTATTTAGTAGTACTCAGTGTAAGTTAGTGTCGGTTTTCTCTGGTTATTTTCTATGGCAAGTGTGGGTGTTGAATCCCTACTATACAAAGTGTGCCTTCAGAGGATTGGAGGGGTTAACATCAACAAGTCTGCTACATATGGGTCTGTGGTTGTCACTCCTTCTGAACTCAGTGACACGTCATGTTGGGGAATGTAAGTATCACCGCAGCTTAGAATGTAAAGCTCTGTTATATGGCTCCACAACCCCGGTCGGCTAGTTGTCATGTGAAATGAAGACTTAGGCCTGGTCTACAATTGGAAATTAGAATGGCTACATCGCCCCAAAGCTGGTGTTCCTAATGGATAGGCACCACTGCAACTGCTGCTAATTGGGCCCCTTATTAGCAGTCTCAGAAGCAGGGGGGGCGGGGTGAGCAGGAAGAGAGGTTCCAGGGCTCTTGTCTTGGTCCTCATTCTGTGAGAATTAAGATAACAGTTTCCAGGGCATCTTTCTCCAGCCCTGACTAAAACAGAGTAGCATTCAGCAGTTCAAGGGGCTTTATTCTGAGCTCAGAAAGTGAACCCGTCCCTTGAACAAACTCCTGACTTGTGAGAAGCAATGCCCGTCATCGGCCATTTCCGCCTAGGGAAATTCAGCCCATTACCAGGAAAGACCAATTTGTTTGCGGAGTGCTGACAGATCACTGGAATCCACCTTAATGCTGGTTTAAACATCATGGTACTTGGTCACCTGACATCTGCTCTGTCAGGCCAAGCCTTCCAGCTTGGTCTCTTCTGTGCAGGCTGTCTACTCTGCACCAGGTGGGGGCATGACCCCCTGTCTGGCAGCATCTCAGGGCATAGCACGGCTGTTTGGCTTTGTCAGAAAAATCCTGCCTTTGGAGGGTACCAGTCAGTTTCCTGTTCATTTGAGAACTTTTCTCAGTTAAACCCCTTGGTGCCCTCTGCTCCTGGGAGCGGTCTCTGTGTGAGCTGGGTCCTGACAGAGCAGCATTAGGGGGTCAGTGTGCATGGAGGCTCCCCTTCACCCTCCAGGTAAAGCAGAGGAGGGAGAGGAGCCCCCGCACTGCCAGCTGCACAGGATTATGCAGCTGTCCTCTCCTCTCTGGCTTGGGCCAAAGACAAGAGTCCTCATTCTCCGTTCTCAGTTCAAGGGCAACTTATCAAGCTGCGGGCACAGTGGGTCTTTTGTTTTACAGTCCCCTCTTTCCTCCTCCCCCTGCTCTAGCACAGGGACAAAGAAGTTCCAGGACCAAGTTCTGGATGTTGATCAGACACCGCTGAGCTACGTTACCGTCTCCTGGTGATGGTGTTGCCAGGGCTAATGTACACCTATTGCACAAGCCCCCCAGATACTTCACCGTGTTTTGTAGCAACTCGCATTATAGAAGCCCTGACCCCATGGTAACATCCTCCCATCCCAGACTGCAGAGCCAGCCAGTGACTGATTCCTGTCCTCCCTTAGCACAGCAGAACAGGCCTGCCAAACCTGCAGTGCACACGCCAAGGGAGGGGCAGGGTAGGGCAGAGCAGATGAAGGATGTAAGGGAGGCCATCTGGGGGGTTGGCCCCTCCTCGCAATTCCCCAGGGCCCCCAAAGCTATCGCATAAAGCTAATCAAATATTGCCCAGAATGCACTGAGCTGGGACTGAGCGAGATTGTAATGACAGGGTAGATAGCACCTCTGCTAATAGGTGGTGCTGTATCTTTATCTTAATGTTGTCTTGTTTTCACAGTATGTTATTTTTTTTGGCAGAGAGGTTTGGGAGGGGCAGATGATAAATCCTGCCTGTGTGAGCTTGAGCTGTTACTTGCAGCATTGCAATAAATCCTTTGATTTCTATAAGCGAGTATTCAAACTAGAGCCGAGCAAATCATTGACTTTTTGTTTTGGTGGCTGAAAAGAAAAAAAATCAGTGTCAAACCAAAACGGATATTTTTTTGCTTTGCTTGCCAAAATGAAAATTAAAAAAAAATTATTATTTGGGTGGAACTAAAGCAGGGGTGGCCAACCTGTGGCTCCGGAGCCACATGCGGCTCTTCAGAAGTTAATATGCGGCTCCTTGTATAGGCATCAACTCCAGGGCTGGAGCTACAGGCGCCAACTTTCCAAAGTGCCGGGGGGTGCTCACTCCTCACCTCCTGGCTCTGCGACAGGCCCTGCCTCCACTCTACCCCTTCCCACCCCCTCCTCTGAGCCTACCATGCCCTCGCTTCTCCCCCTCCCCTTCCCCCCAGAGCCTCCTGCATGCCACAAAACAGCTGATTGAGAGGGAGGGGGTGGCGCTGATTGGCGGGGCTGCCAGTGGGTGGGAGGGGCGGGGGGCGGGGGGAGAGAGCTGATGTGGGGACGGCTGACGTATTACTGTGGCTCTTTGGCAATGTCCATTGGTAAATTCTGGCTCCTTCTCAGGCTCAGGTTGGCCACCCCTGAACTAAAGGTTTCAAACATTTTGAAATGACATTTTGAACATGTTGATTCCAAACGACATGGTTTATTCCGAAACTAAATATCTCAACAGTTCATTTTGAAAATGGCAAAATGACCCATTTTGACTTTCTCAAAAACATTTTTCTTCATTTTATATTTGGCCCAAACTATTAGCTCAGTTTGACCCAAATTGGTGAAACTGCATTTTTTGTCAAATTGACTATTTGACTGAAAAATTCCACCTAGCTCTAATTACAACTGGTGGCAGCAGCTTCAAGATGGCAAAAGTACTTTTACTTAAGATATTTACTGGTCATGCAGAGGAGACTGTAATTTGTGAATATAGATCCTGTCACACTAATTTAATATGGGTTTTTTTATGAGATTACAAGTTTGGTTGAAAAAGGGAGTTAGTGTTGATGTAAGATACTTAGACTTCTGTAAGGTATTTTACTTGGTACTGCATGGCATTTGGATTGAAAAATTAGAAAATAGGGCTGTCAAGCGATTTAAAAATTAATCGCATGATTACAAACATTAATTGTGATTAATCTCACTGTTAAAGAATAATAGAATACCATTAATTAAAATATTTTTGGATGTTTTCTACATTTTCAAATATATTGATTTCAATTACCACACAGAATACAAAGTGTACAGTGCTCACGTTATATTTATTTTTGATTACAAATATTTGCACAGTAAAAAAGAAAAGAAATAGTATTTTTCAATTCTCCTAATACAAGTACTGTAGTGCAATCTCTTTACCCGGAAAGTTGAACTTAATTATGTACAAAAACATAACTGTACTCAAAAATAAAACTGTAAAACTTTAGAGCCTATAAGTCCACTCAGTCCTACTTCTTGTTCAGCCAATTGCTCAGACAAACAAGTTTGTTTACATTTGCAGGAGATAATGCTGCCTGCTTCTTATTTACAATGTCACCTGAAAGTGAAAACAGGTGTTTGCATGACACCGTTGTAGCCAGCGTTGCAAGATATTTACGGGCCAGATGCAGTAAAGATTCATTGGCTATTAGCCAGGATGGGCAGGGATGGTGTCCCTACCCTCTGTTTGCCAGAAGCTGGGAATGAGCAACAGGGAAAGGATCACTTGATGATTACCTGTTCTGTTCATTCCCTCTGGGGCACCTGACAGTGGCCACTGTCGGAAGACAGGATACTGGGCTAGATGGACCTTTGGTCTGACCCAGTATGGCCGTTCTTATGTCCCTTCATGCTTCAGCCACCCTTCCAGAGGACATGTGTCCATGCCAATGACAGGTTCTGCTCGATAACGATCCAAAGCAGTGCGGACCGATGCATGTTCATTTTCATCATCTGAGTCAGATGCCACCAGCAGAAGGTTGATTTTCTTTTTTGGTGGTTCAGTTCTGTAGTTTCTGCATCGCAGTGTTGCTCTTGTAAGACTTCTGAAAGCATGCTCCACACCTCATACCTCTCAGATTTTGGAAGGCGCTTTAAATTCTTAAACCTTGGGTCGAGTGCTGTAGCTATCTTTAGAAATCTCACGTTGGTACTTTCTTTGCGTTTTGTCAAATCTGCAGTGAAAGTGTTCTTAAAACAAACAACATGTGCTGGATCATCGTCCTAGACTACCATCACACAAAATATATGGTAGAATTAGGGTAAAACAGAGCAGGGGGCGTACAATTCTCCCCCAAGGACTTCAGTCACAAATTTAATTCATACATTTTTTTTTAACAAGCGTCATCAGTATGGAAGCATGTCCTCTGGAATGGTGACCGAAGCATGAAGGGGCATACGAATGTTTAGCATATCTGACACCTAAATACCTTGCAGTGCCGGCTACAAAAGTGCCATGCAAATGCCTGTTCTCGCTTTCAGATGGCATTGTAAATAAAAAGTGGGCAGCATTATGTCCTGTAAAAGTAAACAAACTTGTTTGTCTGAGTGATTGGCTGAACAAGAAGTAGGACTGAGTGGACTTGTAGGCTCTAAAGTTTTACATTGTTTTTTTTTTTGAGTGC